TTTTTTTTTTTTTTTTTTTTTTTTTAACAAACAGTGCTCCAATCTATTCGTGGGGAGCAACACGTGCTGGGAACCGGGCCCAGTGTCCCATATGAAAACATATGTAGAACAGTTTGAGACCGGGGCCATTACCCGGCTTCAGCTAAGAATACCCTGAACAATCTTACAGGTAAATCCACAACAGAATTGAGAAAACTGCTGATCCTATTGATTTTTTTATTTTTTTACTAAGACTCTACCCAATCACTAAAATAGGTGCCTCCCACCAAAAAACAGATAGGTGAAACCCATTCAATCCCACCCACAACTACTACCAGCATGGCCGTTTTCAGCACAAACCGAAGCTCTACCAGGCCTCTTGCCCCCGTCAGGCTGGGTTACAGAGTTGCACCACCTTGCTCCAGCTCCGGCCAGCGTTGCCCCAGCTACTCCCCCGATGACCACTGTGGCTGCCCCCGCAGACAGCCCCCCAGATCTGTCTACCAGGCCTCACACCCCCAATAGGCTAGGTCAGAGAGTTGCGCCACCTGGCTCTGTCACCGGCCAGCGTTGCTCCAGCATCGGTCTTCGAGGGCCACCGAGTTTTCGGCCACCATTAGCAGAAAAACTTCCTCGAGAGGCAAACCAATTCGAAAAAATTACAAGACTGAGTGTTAGGATTCTTGAAGAGAGATCACCCCGCCCTCCCCATACTCCTACCCCCTCAGCCCTACACTGCCTCCGCCGAGGCAAGCCTCCCGCTCTTCCTCGGCCCCAATATAGGGCCAACTCTCTGCACCCCTTTCCCTAGGGGCATGCAGTTCCCACCTAAAGCATGTCCCCCCATCCCTTGCCCATTTCTGCCTTTGCTGGGGCTGATTGACCCCTCCCCCAGAATAGGGCAAACCCCTAAATCCGCCCCTACCCTCTTCGAGACTACACCCCCTCCTTGTGATGCCCCTGCAGGATAGAGCTCACCCCTCCCCCTTCTTACAATTTAACTCTCCGGGAATGATCCAATCATGCCGATTGCAGTTATTGACGATTCTTACCAAACTGTTGAATTACTTCATGCAAGTCACGACAGATATGCAATAAACCCCTAAAACACCCTGCATCTTTTAAGGATAAATTGCTGAAGAAAGCGCAGGGCGTCAGCAAAACTGTTACAATCTTTCCCACTCTGCTTGATCTTGCTTGGTTTCTTCTTCTTCCTTGCTTGCTTGCTTCCTGTTCTTGCTTTTTCTTCTTGCTTTCTTCTTCTGCCTTCTTCTTCCTCCTCCTCTTCTTCTTCTTCTTCTTCTTCTTCTTCTTCTTCTTCTTCTTCTTCTTCTTTTTCTCCACCTCCTCCTCCTTCCCCTCGTTATTTGGCATCACCGTCCTCTTCATCTTCCTTCCAGTCCTCCTCGCCCTCCTCCCCCTCCATCACCTCCAATGTCATTATCACCATTGTCAGTGTCCTGATCCTCTTGTTGTTGTTCAATCTCAGCGCTCCACATGTATCTTCCTCATCGTGACCATCGCACCCCTTACTTCCCTTTTCCCCCTCTACACCCTAAAAGGACCACCTTGCAAACCCATGTTTGTGGGGTTTCCCACCTCTGCAGTATGAACCCAGCCGCCAAACCATTAAAGTTTAAACACAGCCCTTGCAACTTCATCTGACTGGATGGCAAACCACCAATTGCTTAACAGTGATGAATTTGGCCCAAACAGCTGGGCAGCAGGGGCTGGTACCAGTTTGCAAGGTACCAGTTTGTAAGGTACCAGGTGTGGTACCAGGCCAAACCGGATACCATTTAGTCCATCCTCGCGCGAAGGCGGCTAAGTCTGTGACTTTCGATGAAGATTCGGATGGATTCTGGAGGGGAAACTAGATAGAAGTGATTCCCATGCCCCATAAATTTCATGATCTAACTTCCAAGCAAAGGACACAGTCCTTCGTAATTTTCGGACTTCTTTTTGAATTTTATTCGCATCAACTCGTCAAAGATGTAGTAGGCTTTACTATCACAGAGAATGCATCTTTCCAAGTAGCTCACATGATCGTGCAAACATCGCCCGTCTGCCTATCTCATTTCATCGTAACCTACCTTCAAAGGTGGGTTAGGAGCAAAGGACAGACCAAATGGTAAGCCTCCAGTGGATGATGAACTTGGGTGATGCTCGCTGGGTCCCCACAAAAAAAATGAAGCCATAGATATGCCCATAGCCAAAGAGCTGCATCCTTCTGATGATCTGTATTCATTTCTTTCTCGAGAATCGTTAAAAGAAAGGGAAAAGAAACTGAAGATAACGGCTGCATGACTTAGAGCTGCACATCGAATGCCTCTACATCCTTCGGAGTGGTCCATCTCAACCTCCCCTGGGACAACGTCCCGCTTGCACCGATGAAGAGATATAGTGGCCGTAGAGCTTCGTGACCTATGGCCGGCATCTGTTCAGCTGTGCAAGTGGGACCTTGCGCCTGGAATCTGAGTGTTTTCTGCAGAAATGTGCTCTTTTATAAAGTTTTATGGGAAAGCTGTAAAGGCCAGTGCTCGAGTTAATTTTAGCTAAGGAGAATGGAAGTTTTCTCGGTTTCTGACGGAATTGATATTGTCCTCGCATTGGGTCCTATAAATTGCAGGTCAAGTGTCAGCCAGTTGTTGCCCCATGGAACGGGTTTATCTGGTACCCACCTAACCTTTACCTTGCTCCGGGATATATGTTTCAAGTGGAGATGACCCACCTCTCTCTCTCTCTCTCTCTCTCTCTCTCTCTCTCTCTCTCTCTCTCTCTCTCTCTCTC